CTGCTGACGAGCGGGCTTATGTTCTGGCTGCATTTCTCTCATTGAGAGATGTTCAGGTGCCTGGTGTGGAAAACTCAGACTAAGGGCTTGACAGAGGGACCTGTCTGGAGGCTCCACAGAGGAATTGATGTGATTTCCTGCTCTCCTGGATAGTCTGGGACACCCCCTTCCCCACTGGGCTCAGGAAATAGCTACCACCCCAGGTGTGCCCTGAAGGGTCTGTCTGGGGGCCTGTTCCCATGATCCTTCACAAAGTCTAAAGAGCACAGAGTGCCAGCAAAGAAATTGCTGCTGAGGGGGAGGGATCGAGGCAGGTGGTGCACGGCCTGAAGGATTAGCACATCTGGCCGTCAGAGTGCCACAGCAGACAGAGGGACGTATCCTGTCGCTTATGGATAGCCCAGGCCTCACCGTGGATGCCACGTGGCCAGAATGAGGTTCCTTCTTTCTTTTTTCTGCCTGCAGGGGGCGTGTGTGTGGCCTCTGAGCCCAAGGAGGACTGTATCCACTTTCTGGTGCTGACTGATGTCTGCGGCAATAGAACCTACGGCGTGGTGGCCCAGTACTACCGACCCCTGCACGTACGTGATTCCCCCAGCTTCCCTCTGAAACTGGGTCTAGGCTGTGGGGTTTTTTCTTTTGCGGTGAAATACACATAATATGACAATCACCATTTTAGCCATTAAAAAATGTACGATTCAGTGGCATTAAGTACATTCACAGTGTTGTGCCACCATCACAACTGTCCAGTTCCAAAACATGTCCGTCACCCCAGAAGGCAGAGTTGTCTCATCAGCAATGCCTCCCCAGTCCCTGCTGCCCCTGGGCCCCTGGCCATCCTTCATCTGCTTTCTGCTTCTGTGGGTTTGCCTATTTTGGACATTTCATGTAAGTGGAATCATACTATACATGTCCTTTTGTATCTGGTTTCTCTCACTTAGTGTGATGTTTTCAGAGTTCATCCATGTTGGAGCACATGTCAGCGCTTCACTCCTTTCAGTAGCTGAGTGATATTCCACGGTGTGTATAAGCCACGGTCTGTTTCTCTGTTCCTCAGCTGGTGGACCTTTGGGTTGTTTTCACCTTTCACGTGTGACAGGTGCCTGAGCTGAGGTTTTGAGTGGGTGACTCAGTCATCACGCGTTTGGGAAGTGTTTTCTGGGCAGGGCCCTGTGTGTGAACCAGCTGGCCTTGGGGAGTTTGTAGGGGACATGACGGACCAGAAGGTACAGGGTGACTGGCTGCCTACTTCAGCCCCAGAGGACCTGGGCACCCAACATTTTTTTTTTTTTTTTTTTTTTTTTTTTTTTTTCCTTGCGTAATGCGGGCCTCTCACTGTTGTGGCCTCTCCCATTTGCGGAGCA